GACAGTAAGATATCAATGTCTCCTGACTTATCAAAACCATTATCCGACAACATAATATCAGGAGGCACATTGAAAGAATCACACTCTAGCTGCGGTAGGCTGCTAATTTTTTCTACAATAGAGCATTTAATGTTTTTCTTATAATCATAAAAACAAGAGCTAATTTCAATATACACAGAATTTGTAACTTCTGTAACATTTTTCGAAACTCCAACATTTACTTTATTTTTAAATGAGGAAAGTTTTAATTTTTTGAAAAGCTCATTGGTAATTAAAGACATTTGTGAACCACTGTCCAAAAGACAGCGTGCAATTTAAAATGAACCATTTTTAACTTTAATTTTAACCTTTACTGTAGGCAAAATTACATGTTTAGCTGTTTTGTGTGAAGCATTTGAAGGGTTGAAATTCATAGCCAAAGCTAACTTATCCGAATCCGCGTTCTCTGGTGACCTTTCTAAATGCAGAAGGCTGTGATGATTTTTGGCACAAGTATGACATTTTATTGACATTTTGCATTTGCCTTGGTGCAGGTTTAAGCAAGTCCTGCAACATTTATTTTTATCTACAAAAGACATTCTTTCATTTACTGAAATACCCTTAAATTTGTTACAATTATAAATTTTATGATTCGGAGTTAAACAAATGTACCACCATCACCAAAAGTATCTGGGACACAAATAATGCATAATAATCTCCTGCACTAATTCTACTGTCATTCATTTCAATGCATTTAATTCAGAGTTTGACAAATATTTGACAACAAAATTCATATAAAAGGACAAGAGCTAATGTGATGTTACTTTTGGTGACGATGGTACATTTAAAATCTTTTTGCACTGGTAATAAAGTACGCCTTTCATTGGATCTCTCATATAATTGCTAGTAGTACCATTTGAAATTACATTTCTTTTTCGAAACAAATATCCGATGCTTTTGACATGTGGCAGCGTCGGTCGCTTCCGTCGCTTCACTTTCACTTTTTCATTATATTTTGACATATTCCATTTTTATTCAATAATTTGAAGCAGAGATTGAAAATTTTCTCCATTCAAAGCAAAATGGTTTTATCTTGTTGTGTGGCAATGTGTGAAAGCCGAGGGAACAGAGTAAAAATTCATTGAATTCCCAAAAATGATAAACAGGTATGTTTCAATACCTACATATACCGAAATCGGGATTTTACCTCCTGTACGTTATTTTACCACTGTGACTTTCTTTCTTTTTAGGTGTTCATTTTATGCCTGCAAAACGTTTACAATCAAAAATCTTATTCTTGTAGGTACCTATTTATTGATTTGGTTGGGTTGATATCATACTGTAGTTAATAAAGTAATTCAAAATTGTTATTTTTGTAGTTAATACATGGATTAATTAGTATGTAACTCTTCGGTATGTGATCAAGAGTTCCAATTATTCAGCAATACGAGAATCACTTTCCCGGCCTAGGCCGGAAAAGTGCTTCCCGTATTGTTATTCATTGATTCCTTAGCAACTATTGAAACATAATTGAAATACCAGAATATTGAGTTTTGCGACCTGTCAACCGGTCAAAAATGCTTACATTTCTTGTCAATCGCAGAAAAACATCATTTCGATTTCACGCTTCCACTCCGGGAAAATAATTTCACCGGATTAGTGATGTAATGTATCATTTCTTGGACTGAAACCGAAAACGTAATGGAGTACATTACCAGTAATTTTATTAAAGTTACAATAATCTGCAGGTTTGCTATTTAATTTTTTTGCGAATTCTGGAGCACTAAAATGGCCGCAACGCCTAAACTAAAATAGCTAGCAAAAAAAGGCATGAGGCAAAGTTGATCAGAATGTTATTATCTACAAGTCAAAAAAAATAAGAAAAAGGCCAATAGGCAGTGCCGTATTTCCCTATACGCCAACTACGCACAGGCGTAGGGCGGCAAAATTGGGGAGGCGGCAAATTTCAAAAAATAATCAAAAACTGCATGAGGAAAATGAGGATAAGGAATTTTTCACAGTTGGGCGTTCGAAACCCTGGTTACTATGTGTTGGTTTACGTATATTTGTTGCTATGGCGGTCACAGTTTGTTCTGCGGAGCGTTTATTTTCAACCCTCAAACGCTTAAAATCCTATTTAAGATCTTCCATGGAACAAGACCGATTAATGGTCGTTTGCACCGACGATTTTAAGGAAGCCTAATGCTTCATTCTCACTTGGGCGAAATTCGCTCTTTTTGCGCAAAATTCGCTCTTTTTTTGAAAATTTCGACAGGTTGACGTTTTATGCGTGTATTAAACGTCAAATTTTCGAAGCAATGTCAAAAAAGAGCGAATTTCGCGCAAGTGAGAATTAAGCTTTAGCGATAAGTACATAGAGAAATGTCACTTTAAGGAGTACTTATCGCTAATGTTTCCTTAAAATGGTCAGTGCAAACGGCCATAAATGCATTGACAATTTTGACGATAGAATCTGATTTGATAACAAGCTTGGATTTTGATAGTATTATAAACTCGTTTACTGCTATGAAAACCCGGCGAAAGTCTAGAGAGATATTGCAAATCAGCCTTGATAAGGCTAAAACCTTATAGGGCATTCCACCAAAAAAAATCAGTCAGGGCACACAATTCGATTGTGTCATACAAGTGTCACACAATCAAACGCGTCATTTTAATATAGGTACATTTTTTAATAATAATAGTTGCTCAGTTGCTCTGAAGTATTGTTATTTGATAATAAGTCCTAATATACATATATCTCGAACAAACTACAGCATATTTTAGCTCACTGCCAGTTATATCTTCACGTTTGATTGCATTTAACCAGCTTTGTCTTCTAATTTCAACTTTATCAGGATGTTTTCGATTCAGTTCCGAAGGTATTTTATAAAATTTAACGTTGTCGTGTTCTCCCCTACTACTTCACTTCACTACACAACAAAATGCAGGCATTTTACCAATATTTTTGCGCACTTTAACATTTGCCTGCCCTGCCCTGGCTAACTTTTGACAGACGCCATTTTTGACAGTTCGTTGGAATGCCTTATTTAGACGTGATAGGTCATTTCCTTACTTCGAATGACAAGTTTAGATATTGCAAATTTCCAGAAACGACTAGGAGTTGATGCCTTATTTCTAACCTGAAAATCTTGAATTTTTGTTAATATTTATTTTTTAAGTTATGAACTTGAAGTGTTTTCTTCCTGATGTGGAATATATGCTTAGATATTTCGAAAATAAGAAATTATTTGTTCAAAATATTTATATAGTTCGTGTAAAATCGTGGAACAGTGGCAGGAAAATGACACAAATTCTCTAAGCAAAACAGTTCATCATTATACGTAAACCTTGAGGTTGTTTGTTTGTGTTATTCGGGGCAGCTCTTCCTGCTTTGGGGCGATCGTTTGTGAGCGTTTTATATGGTTTATCTGCCATAATCTGAGATATTACAGCTTAGTTTAAGTTAGTGCGACACAAACAAACAAACCTTTAGTCTTCCTCTTTTCTGTGCGTCGATGCTGTTTTGATTTTGCCTCATTTCTCAAAGTTTGGAAAAAAAAATTCAAGAAAAGTCAAAATTTGTCTTGAAATTTGTTATCATGAATCTAAAATCTATGGTTATAAACACAAAACATAACAAAACCCAGTTCGCGATTCCTACCGATCATCTCCGATCGACTAAGAACTTTTAAATAAGGCAAAAATAAGGCAGGTCTTATTTTCTCCTAAATAAGGCAGATCCTTATCCTTAATAAGGCTGTCCTTATACATGCGCAGCTGTCGAAATAAGTAATAAGGCTTGTCTTAATAAGACAAGCACTTGCAATATCTCTCTAATATAATATGTAAATAGCGTTATAGCTGTGAAAATAAATTCAAAATATGAAATTCTGGTTTTACTGTTACTTTTACCATTTTACCTAGCCAACATGAGGGCGGCCTTTTTTAACAGGCGTAGAGCGGAATATTGGTAAATCCGGCACTGCCAATAGGGCCGAACGCACAAGGCTTTCGAGAGTGATTTTTTGGCTCAATACTCAGGACAAAGTCTCCAATCAGTCCTGAAAAAATCAGCCTGCCCTCACAAAATTTTTTGAAAAACCCATAAATTTCTTGGGCTATTTCTGTGATTTATAACAATAATATTTAAGCAATGAAAATTTAATATTCCAGTAGTGATTTATAAAACAAAAAGTTGAATTTGCACATTCCAGTTGTACAATTTATCAAAGATTTTCTTTAAACCCGAAAGGTTGTTAAATCGCGACTCGAGTAGGTACCTAATTTTAATTTTCAAATGTAAATATAAAAACCGAAACCAGGATGTTCACTTGCTCACTGAGCTCTAGCAATGAATATGGGTGGTCACGTAGAACCCTGTCCGTGTGACAATTTGTGACTAGCAGGAAAGAACGAAAAAGAATAAAGATGGCTAAAATGGCGAGAATCTTGGATTAGAATTTTTTATATCTTACGACCAAAAATTTTAATTCAATTTCAAATTCGGGGAGGACTAAAATAATGTTCGATTGATGTTGAATTTCGATTTATCTTCGATAATAAGAGCCGCGAACGCATTGATTCATCTAAATTTGAACCCGAGCCATACAAGAACAAAATGGAGGCACTTGTGTTCTTCCAACGACGTTTTCTTTTCCTGCAGGTGCACCTGGATGGTCTACCAATTCTTCGACGAACACAATCTCAAAGTATGCTTAAACTTCGACCTAGAACCCGGTTTGATTTATTCTTTGAAGAAATGTCAGATTTTCTGCTGACAGGTTTTTCTTCGCACGTGATTTAATACCACATTGTGGTATGAGCTGTAGAAGATAAGCTAAACTATTCCTTTGGGATATCTATTAGACCAAATAAGTCAAATTTATTGCTGTTTTGCTGTTTTACTGAGAAAAATAAGAGTTACATTACATTACATACTTTTGAACGATTTGTATATGATTGGAAGTTGGACCATAGGCATACGTACCTACTTTTTCAAATAAATTTGATTATATTTTCAGCGTTGAAATTGAAAGGGTCAGTTCTTGGGGATACCTGCAACCAGATGGAACCGTTGACGGTTTGGCTGGCCAACTGTGGCTTCATAAAGCAGATTTTGGTTCTTCACCATTGTTTGTTAAAGAAGAACGTGCCAGAGTTTTGAGTTATGGACGAAAAACTTGGAACCTAAAGTACCAATGAATAGTTTCGAAACCTCTTGCATTACAAACGTGTTTTTAGGGGTGCTTTTTTTCTGAGAAATCCAAAATCCCGAAAATCCTATCAAATATTTATCAAGCCCCTTTCTCTGAAAGTATGGATATGCATTTTTATGTCTTCAATTTTATCAGTTTACTCTCAGAGATTGGGTTTTTTGTTAGATAAACAAATTGACAAGATGTTCCTTAAAAATGAGAATGTTGACTCTACATGGAGCTTTAGTACGGTTTGTACTTTTGGAGCTTTTTGTCAACAAGGTAATTTTACTGAAGTTTGTTCCAACAAAAATTAAAAATTGAATTTAACTTTTCAGGTATTGTTTCATATCCAAACTCATTTAGTGGCAGGGCAGCCGCCTTTGTAACGCTTTTGCTTGGTTTACTTATATACCAGTTTTATTCTGCAAGTTTAGTGTCTTTTTTGCTTAATGTACCCACAACTGTGATGAACACTGTCCAGGATATCTTGGACAATCACTTCAATATCGGATGTGAGGATGTTTTATATGTTAAAGATATTCTTAAGGTAAGCGTATTTGGTTCAAGTTATCAGTAATCAGTTAGGTATTTTCAGTCTGCTACTGATAATGTTACCAAAGAAGTTTACAGAAGACTGCAAGAAATGTCGCTCAAAGATAACCAAACTGGCTTTATGACACCCAAAGAAGGTCTACAGTTGGTTAAAAATGGTCAATACGCTTTTCAAGCTGAACTAGTCTCAGGCTACCCGATAATTGAGAAGAATTTTAGTGAATCCATGATTTGTGAACTGAAGGAAATACCAATGTATAAAACCAGATATATGCATGCTAATTATCAAAAATGGTCACCATTTAAAGACATTCTTGACGTATGGTAATAATTTTAAACTTTAGACTAACTTTAAACAAATTTCAAATTAATAATTCTAGTTTACAAAGATTAGGTGAAAACGGAGTCATAGCAAGAGAACTAACATTTTGGTACCCAAGAAAACCAAAATGTATCAGATCGGCATCTACTATTAACATAAACACTGGCCTGAATGACTTTTATCCGGCCCTTGGAGTGGTTGTAATTGGAATGGTTTTAAGTATGAATATTTTGTTGATTGAAATTATCTGGCATTATTGGACTGAGCAGAAACAACTAGATGTTGAAAATGTGGTTTTCCCTTATGCAAACTGATGAGTTTGGCTGCAAAACTAAGGCTGTAGTAATTCGTATCAATATATTACCTGAATATTAAAGTTTTCGAGGTTTTTTTTAATAGATAGTTATACACAAGTGCATCAAATTTATTGAATTTTGCAATGCAAATATAGTCCAATTTTCCTGAAAAAAAAAAATAGGTAACTGTAGTCAGTCTTTAAAGTACATTTATTAAGATAATCACTAGTAATCAAAAATAAATAAATCATTCAAATTTTATTACTTATATGAGTTTTAAAAAATAAACTTACATTGATAGAAAAAAAAAATTGAATAAAGTATAAAAGCTCACTACCTAAATATCTAGCCTTGCATAACCTCTTCGGCCTCACTATCGCTACCCTGCGCTTTAGCTCCAAGAGTTGTAGCTCCCCTGTTCTCCTGCCTACAAGGAATCACATACCTTTGAGCGACACAGAGTGGAGGACTGAAACCCTCAGGATAGGCCTGATCTTCAAACAGTACCTCATACTCGTCTACATGAGAAGCCGGAGGTTTGTTGACTAGGGCTTTGTAGAAACAGGTTGTTTGAGGAAAAAGAGCCAATACTGAAAGAAAAAAATTTAGAATTATATAATAGTTATTTGTATACCAAGGCCGCGAAGTGCCTTTTAGCGTACGTAGAGAAAAGTTATCGCCGAGGCCGCTTGCGGCCGAGGCAAGATAATCTCGAGGACGCTAAAAAGTTTCGCGGTCATGGTATACACACTATTTTTTGTGCAACCATGAAAATTATGTGGAATTATAGAAAAAATGTACTCCTTTCAACAAACATGTGGAACTAATTACCAGTTTGATGTATAACCTGGTGGCTATGGTGGCACAGCGTTTCCATGGATGTCATGGATGACATATTTTGCAAGTAAACAAATACACAAAAAATTTTGACGGTTCTCAAAAAATCGTGAAAATATCCGACAGCGATACAGATGTTTCACTCTCTTGCACTCCTCCAGAGCTAAAAAATATGGTTCAATCAGCTATTTCTGAGTTAATACCTGGAAAACTAAGCGGCAATATGAAAATTGTTACTGCGAGTTCAAAAAATTGGTGTGACAAACAAAACGTCAAAATGGTGTCTGAAAGCATATTGGCTAATTTAATGCCGAAATGGGAAGTTTTGAGAGTTCAATTCAAAAACACTGGATTATTAGTTGCTTCAGCTTCAGGAGTAAATATTAGTAATAATGCAAACTGTCATGTAAGTGTTAATATTTATCCTAAATAATTTATGTTGTTCTGAAGAATTTGGAAATAAAATTTACTTATTGTTGTCAAAGTGTCAAATTTTGATTTATAGTTTCGCGGCCGTCACCAAGGGCAACGGCCGCGAAATTGAATTTCGCGGACTGTGTGGCGGCCGCGAAAGCTCATTTTGCGGATGGTTGCACAAAAAAGTATGATATATAATTAGAGTATTAGAACTACAGAAACGCCATCATCACCAGCAATTGTCCAGCATTAAACAATAAAGTTAAAAAAAAAAAAACCTATTTGGTAAACACAAGATGGTAGGTATCTACATACAGTAAAGCTCAGGATATCCGAGGTAACGTGGGGGAGCACCCTTCTCAGATAACTGAAAACTCGGATAAACCGAATCTACGCAAATTTATATGCTAGAAGAGTTATAAAAGAGTCCAAAAACATAAATAGGGGAACCACTCACACGGGCCAAGAAGATTGCTCGTCGGCCCGACGATTTTGAATGAAAATATGTGTGTATATGTGTGTATATGTATATTTTAGAAGCTCCATTATATAGACGTGCGTACCTCAAAAAATCAGGATCATTGGGTCTTTAGATTGGCTTGGTTAATCCAAAGCTCAGATAATAAAATTAGCGACTCGAATAATCGGGGTTCTACTATACAGGGTCTTTCCCCAGATATTGACCCCTCCCCTACAGGGGTTATGTGAAGAGATATCAAAAACTTATAATTATAGTTTATCTATTCTCAATTGAACCACCACAAAAAATAATTCTCCATCAACAGTGGGCGTTTTCTTTATGAAGCATAGGCGGCGAGGTTTCCAAAAATGTCATAATATAATAAATCAATATAATTTAGGTATTATTCTAAGTAAAATTTAATTTATATTTATTATTATATTTGAGATACTTTTAGTGTAGTCAAGTTATCGGAATTTAGGTCCAACTTCTGAAAAAATTATATACAAATGTTTATGAGTAGGAACATACAGATAATGTGGCCCTAGATGACATACTAAAAGTCCCGTAGATTCTGACAATGGCAAGTTGCAAAAAAGTGGCCGCCAATAGCATTGTTTGTTTATTTGCACCAATATGGCACTTTCTACTCCAAATGTATTTTAATCCCCATTTTTTTGTTAGTCTGACAGAGACAGACTGATTTTTTGCTGGACCTGGTGCCGCTTGGTGTAACTTTGGTGCAAATAAACAAACAAACCCATTATGATCGTCTCGACCAGCTGCTGCGGTTTATTAGAGCAGGAAGATCAGGCAACTTCACAATTACTGTTTAAAATTGATGATCCGAATATTTTACGCAACACCTTTATCTACAACAGATTCAGAAACTTCATAATAGGTATGAGTCCTGAAAACTATGAAAAATTTGTTGATGAAGGAATGTTCACTTGTGAGAAGAACCAACAACTTTTGGTCCGGTACTTGGACCGACATAGTGATCGAGCAGAATTTGATGAGGTCAATCAAAACAACTGGTGGCCTAACTTATAGACGCGGATTCACTAATTCGTCTTTGGCCAGATGTATTGCTGATATGTCAGTTTGTATACCTGTTACAAAAGCTTTTGGAATGTAAGTCTGTGACTTCAGAACAGCATATAGAATTGAGTCGCTCACGCCAGCAACGTGACAAAACTGATTCGCGAGAAATTCAAGATTGGCTAAAATACAATCCTTATAAATGCAAGGAGTTAGGAGTTCATGTCAGTTTTCCCTGGAAGAATAGCTAAATCCGATATAAACTGCGATTTAGCAAATAAAATTGGAAGAACAGTACTAACAAAAAATATAGGCAAAGTATTCACAGATATTAAATGCAAGCGAACGGATCAACTCAAAAAAATTTCACAAATGAGCAACATTATTAAAATTAATCAGAATTATGTTAAGGCGTCCCGTATACAATTATTTAATAGCACTGGCGTAACTAGCCATCTGACCTGGGGGGGCCTAGGGTGGGCTTAGGCTGGGCCTGGCAGAGGCGCCGATTTTTGAAAGCCCTCATGGGTGCAGGATAATATTTTTATTTTGTTTATAGGGCGAGGGGGAAGCTCGCCGCAGGCTCTGGCGAAGGCGAAATGTTTTCATAATGTATACCGGTCTGGCAAGTGAACATCTTACATGCCAATTTAAATGCAATAGAATGAAACATCTAGAAAAAGTCTAAAGGTTGAATAGAGAACGGAACCGATTTCCTTTGTTCCACCTCCAGCGTTCCAAGCGCTGCATGCTGGAGGTGGAACAAGGGAAATCATTTTCGTTCTCTATTTAACCTTGGACTCTTCCTATACATTTCATTCTATTGCATTAAAATTGGCCTGTAAGATGCTAGCTTGCCAGACCTGTATATTTTTATATTTTTCTCTACGCGCGTGCGAAAAGTGCTTCTTTCTGCACACATTTCAGGCCAGAAAAATATCACTTCTTCGCACTAGTATGCGGAAAAGTAGAATAATTATGCAATTTAAGGTTACCCTGGTACTTTTATGTCCTAAAATGCCTCATGTCCCGATTATTATCAAAGAATAGAGATGGAGATGGAGAATAGTAACATTAGCAATATAAAGTAATAGAGCATAGAACTGACTACAAATAACAAAAGGACAGAATACTAATACCTTCCTAATCTAAGACTAATACCACTTGTATAATTCTTATACGAAGTTGTGTAAATTTGAATTACATGATACCCACTAGAGCTCCGAGCACCCATGAGAGGTTGCTTATGGGAGCACCTGCCCCAATGCCCCCATGTACTCGGCGCCAGTGGCCTGGGGCCTGTAATTGTAACTTATTGAAATCTTTAAAAAAGTAGAACAGTGCATTTACTCAGGTATGCACCGTAAGCTAATTTCGAGGATTAGTTATGAAAACCTGGATTAGATATAGTATGTAATTTTAAGATACAAGAGTGGATAGGATATATGTTAGATCCGTTATTCTATGGATGGGAACTAGATAGAGATGAACATCTTGCGCCTACAGCCGTAACAAAAGAAATTGCCCTCTGATATACTAAAAATGGTATTCTGTAATTGCAAGGAAAGGACATGCAACAAGGCATGCTCCTGCAGAAAAGTTGGATTAAAATGTTCTGCAAAATAAGTCAATGCTCAGGAATGATTTGCTGGAATTCGTGCATCGTATATGAAAAAATGATGATTCTTTTGTGAAACTGGAAAAAGTCAGTAATTATTTAAATACATATTACTAACCCAACAAATGTAAATTTGCATTTTAAGTAAAAAATATCCCCACACTTTTCCTCATAAACCTAATAGTTTTTGAGATATTTGCAATAAAATGTAAAAAACAAAATGGCGGCCGTTTTTTTCAACTTGCCAGAGACATAATCCATGGGACTTTTAGTATGTTGTTAAAACGTTACTCCTCGTACATTTTTGTTAAGAAATACTTGTATAGAATTTTTTCAGGTTCAACATCTAACTTGCCTACACTATTTGGAATACACATGCCCCAGTGCCGTTTAGGAGATATTTTTTTAAAATTTTAAACAATTATTTCATAAAAATATACACACGTATAAACCTGCCTCCACCTCTGACAAAAAGAACAAACTACCTTGAAACTACACCAACGACGCCGCGCCGTCGCGTCGCCCAAGCTACCCCAAGCAAATAAACATGAAGAAATCTTTTCGAAATTTCGTTCCGACAACAAGTATTTGACTTTGTCGATTGTAGTTTCTAGTAGGGAATATTCAAAACATTTATATAGGTTTTTTGAGTATTTATTCACGCCAAAGGTGCCTAATATTTGATCGTACCTTATACATAACTTGAAAATAAAGTGGTTCAATTTAGAATAGATAAACCTTACAAAAGTGTTAAGGTTTTACCTGAAATTTTTGAATTCGATGTCTTTTTTATTCTTATAGAAATGTCAAATTTTGACTTATGGTTAGTTTTTTCTCATGGAACACGCCATATATTACTTCATGGTTGAAAAGAGTCGCATTTTCTGATTTCAAATATATATGGTTTAACTACTTTTAATCAAGCCGTTTTGGAAATATCTGGCACTTAACTTCAAGAAAATTACATTGAAAGACCTCCTGTGTCATGTCAAACACTAACGCAATGGCACCGCCTACCAAGGTGTTCCAATGTATTTTTAGAGCCCGATATTTCCAAAACGGCTTAATTAGAAGTAGTTGAACCATATACAGGGTGAGTTACTAAGCGCGCGGTGGTCCATATCTCCTATACTAACGGAGATCGAAGAAAAAACTAAATACAAAACTTGTAGATAAACATGAGTACTACATTCCTAAATTATTTTCCAGTATACAGG